CTACAATAATGTACAGTATTTGAAAAAGAATGTGTTTTTTGAACATTAAAGCATGTCAACATATTCTGTTACACCAAATACACAAAATAATGATCTTTAAAAAAGCATCATATGACCCCTATAAGGTCTAATTCTCACTATTAACAAATCATTAACTACAACTTTTGCCTCAATAAACTCCTAATTTGCTGCTTATTAATAGTTAGTAAGGTAGTTGTTAAGATATTGAGTAGGATTAGGAATGTACAGTGCCTTGCAAAAGTATAATTTTTTCCCACATTTTATGTTGCTGCCTTATGTTAAACTGCTTAAATATACTTTTTTTCCCACATCAATCTACACTCCATACACCATAATGACAAAGCAAAAACAGAATTGTCACAACTTCGTAAATTAATTAAAAATTTAAAAACTGAAATAAGTACATTGCATAAGCATTCTTATGTAACTAAATATTTAGCTGAAGCACCTTTACAGCCTCAAGTCTTTTTTGTTTGATGCGACAAGCTTTGCTTATCAGCATTTGGCAATTATCTGCCATTCTTCTCCTCACCTCTTCACCTCTCAAGCTTTATCAAGTTGGATGGGGGCAGATGCACATTTTCAGGTTTCTTCAGAAATATTTGATTGAGTTCAAGCTCAGGCTCTGGCTGGGCCACTCAAGGACATTCACAGAGTTTTCTATAAGCCACTCTTGCTGTATGCTTGGAGCTCTGCAGGTGATGAGCAGAGCTGGTTTCCTTCAAACATGATGCTTGGAAATGAGGTTCATCAGACCACAGGATCTTGTTTCTCAGAGTCTGAAGGTTTTTAGGTGCTTTTTTGCAAATTCCAAATGTGTTTATGCGTCTTCACCGAGGACAAACATGATGTGAGGTTCATCAGACCAGAGAATATTACCTATTTCTCACAGTCTGAGGGTCCTTTAGTTGCTTTTTTGCATTTTTGCAGTGTGTTTTCATGTGTCTTCACTGAAGAGAGGATTGAGTCTTGCCACACCGTTATAAAGCCCAAATCGATGGAGTGTTGCAGTGGTGTTTGTTCTTCTGTAGGTTTCTCCCATCTCCACATATGATCATGGAGCACAACTAGAGTGACCATCAGGTTCTTGGTCACCACAC